CCAGGAGTGAAGGCCTGAATCAGCCTGAAACAGGTCTGAAGATTCAAATCAGCCTGGACTAGGCCTGGAAGCTCATATCGGCCTAATACAAGCCTAAAACAGGCCTGAAGAACCAAACCAGTTTGAAACAGGCCTGATGAGCCTGAATCAGCGTATGGTGAGCCATAAAAACTCAAGCCAGCCTTGGACCGGCCTGAAATGCTCAGATCAGCCAAAGACAGGCATGACAGCCTAAATCAGCCTAAAACAGGCCTGAAATGCCTTAGCTAGCTTTTGTCAGGCCCAAATCAGCCTGAAACAGGCCTGAAATACCTAAATTCGGCTTAAATATCTCTTTTCCACACTTTCCACTCGAAGCACATGTTTCTGAGAATTCACGGTACAGTAGACAAGTTTAAAGGCGCACCGTGAATTTGGTCATTTCTCGAAATTAACTTCTTATTTGAGAGTATTTTTTGAACACAATTCCAATATTTTTCCACGACCGGAATGCTCCATTTCTCCGTAAAAACCCCATAAATAGGTACAGTAACAATTTTCGTGGTGGGACCCTCTAACAAATAACTGCATGCGCCTTTAAACTAACAGACAAGGCGACTTTTAATTTCTGGATTACTTTTTCTCTGAAATCGCACGTATTTTACTGAAAATTGTCAAATTTTGCTGAGAAATCGGATATTTTTTTATTTGAAATCAATCTGTTTCCAATTTTCGAATGAAAAAAGTTCGACACTCAGTTGACTGTTTTCAGTAAAATCTACTACTCGAAAAATGGCTCCAACGACACGCAGTATGTCGAAAACAGTGAAAAATGAGGTATCGAGTCAGGAGAAGGAGAATATTCAGTTGAAAATGCAACTCAGAAAATGTATGGAAGAGTTGAAAGCAGAGAAACAGAAGAATAAGGTGAGCGGTGTTATCTCAGTTAGGAGTGAAGATAGAGAAACATTGTCAACTAATGAATTGCTCAGAATAAAATTTGAAGCATTTTATCATTTGACAACTTTTCTCTATCTTCACTGTGAGCTGAGATTTAAAGCTTCAATAAAATGTTCAATGGAGCGCACTTGCTTCGAAGCTCTATATCTCGCTTCTCAAGCAAGATAGAAAAAAGTTCTCAACTGATAAATTGCTCAGAATAAAATTAAACACATTTTATTAGTTGACAACTTTTTTCTATCTCTATTAACAACCGAGATATAACGCTCTCAATTTTGTTCCAGGACCAATCTCAGCTCCTGGAAACTCTCAAATCCGAAAACCAAGCTCTCCTCAGAACCCAACAAGAAGCGCTTGAATTAAATGCAAAAAAGAATGAAATCATAAAAATGTTCCGAACGAAATCCAATGAAATAATTCAAAAAGTCACAGCCGCCAATGATCTTTTGGTCAAAAAACAAAAGGATTTGTTGGGAATCCGAGAGAAGAATATCGAATTGATGAAAAAACAATTGAAGGGAGAGATGGGAAAGAATGGAGAACCGTTTCCATGGCAGATTTGTGAGATTTGTTTGATTCCGTACAGTGGAGAGGAGGAGAATACACCGAGAATTTCGAGTGAGTTTTTGAGTGGTTAGGAGTGGAGATACGGGAAAATTGTCAACTAGAGAATTGCTTAGAATAAAATTTTGAATATTTTATTAGTTGACAACTTTTTTGTATCTTTGATGGGAGCCGAAATATAGAGCTCCAAAGCTAAGGTGGAACGAGAGGTATGAGTTTGGATCCTCATATCTTGTTTCCCAGAATAGATACAAAAAAGTGATCAACTAGGGAAATAGTCCAAATTTTATTCTGAGCAATCCGTCAATTGACAACTTTTTTGTATCTTGTCTGAGAGCCGAGATATGAAGCTGCAAAGCAAATGCGCTCTATTGAGAATTTTATTGCAGCCCCATATCTCGGCTGCCGTAAAAGATGGAAGAAAGTTGTCAACTAATAAAATGATCGAAATTTTATTCTGAGCATTCCTAGCTGCAGAGTAAATACGCCCCAATGGCAACTGTCTTGCAGATTGCGGTCACACAGTTTGCCTGGCTTGTGCCAGAAAACTGATCTACCAAAACGCAATTCGCTGCCCATTCGACACAATCGGCTCCGTTGTTCATGAGCCAATCGAGAAGAATTTGCGAAAGAATCGTCTCATTTTAGATTTGTGTACTTAAATTTTCTATTGTCGATTTATTGAATAAACAATGTTAACCCTCCAAAATTCGATGTGCTGTCTTCGATTCAGGCCAATTTTTGAGCTGCACCTATCTCAGTTGGGAGCAAAGGTAGCAAAAAGTTGTCAACTAACGAATTGCTCAGAATAAAATTTCACATATTTCATTAGTTGACAACTTTTTTCTATCGTTACTGGCAGCCGAGATATACGGCTTCCAGCTGGAAGCTGCAAGCGCGCCCCACGGATACTTCCTGTTCAGAGCCTTGTAACTCGGTTAGGATTGAATATAGCGAAAAATTGTCAACTAACGAATTGCTCAGAATAAAATTTATCAAATTTCGTTAATTAACAACTTCTTCGTATCTCTAATGGGAGCCAAGATATAATGCTCCAAAATTCTAAGTGGTACAGAAATTGGGACTATTTTCATTTTCTACCCATTTTGCCCATAGTAAGGCATGTTCGGCAGGATTTACTGCGTATTTTGGTCGAAATTCATAAAACCAAACTATAGATATACCTTGACTTCATTTGGATCATGATTATCCGGTGTTTCCTCCTTGTGATCCATTGTTGACTCCTTTGTTGAGGTTGATGGCTGAAAAATCAGAAAATCTCGGTTCCCAGTGAAGATAGGAAAAAGTTGTCAACTAGTGAATTGTTTGAAATTTTATTCTAAGCATTTCATTAGTTGACAACTTTTTTGTATCTTCGCTGGGAATTGAGGTATAAGGTTTCAAAGCAAGCGCGCCCCACTGAGGAGTAGGGCCCCTTTACTTGCAGGTTCCATATCTCGGTTGGGATTGGCGATGGAAAAAAGTTCTTAACTGATGAAACATCAGAAATTTAATTCTGAGCAATTCATTAGTTGACAACTTCTTGATAGGTCCACTCCTATCAGAGATATGGAGTTTTGAATATTCTATTCCAGGCTTCAGGGCGTTTTTGCCCGATTTCGACAGTTTTTGTGTCATTTTTTATCTTTTTTGCGATTTCTGTTACCTGTTGCTGGTCATTAGCAATTGTAACATGGTGCATCGTTCCCCCATTCTCGATCCCCGACTTCTTCTTCTCCGCCACCACTTCCACTGCTCCGCCTCCTCCATTGGCCACGGGCTCCACAACAACATTGTTATTATTATTGTTATTATTCTGTATTCCTCCATCTGTATCCAGTGCAATTAGCACTTCTTCCACATTCTCAATGACTTCCACCACCGGGGTCTGGGGTCCTCGGCATGTAGAAGCACTCCTGGACAGCCTTATCGACATTACTCTCCTCAAATCGTCATGTCCCACCATAGAGGAAACACTATCCGCATCGATGAAGGGCAGGGAGAGCTCTGGTCTGGAAAATAAGGGTTTAGGAAAAAAGAAAAAAGGATTTGCAGTCGGTGGGGGTTGAACCCGCGTCGAATATTTTCTGAGCGGCAGCGCTAACCACTACGCCACCGGGGTCGCAAGGAGGAGAAGGGGGAGAGGGCCTACAGATAAGCGCGCGTTTTCCGCTTTCTCCTGTGGGTCCCAAAAAATCATAGTTGTGATTTTGAAGCCCGGCCCGGCCCGGTAAGCCCGGACAATTTTTTTTTTCGAATTTTTTCCAATTTTTTTCAAAAAAAAAATTTTTTTTTTCAATAGTTTTCGTAATGAAAGCATTAAAGTGTTTTGCTATCAAGGAATTATTGTGAAACAAACTCATGAAGCTCAAAAACTATACTAACTAATGTTATTCAGCGGGTTTTGAAAAAAAATTCAAAATTCGCGCCTCTTGTCCGGGCCTGCCGGGCTATCCGGGCCGGGCTTGCCGGGCTCACCGGGCCGGGCCGTCACAACTATGCAAAAAATGGACTTACTTAAAATGAGGATGATGATTGACTTCATTCAAATCCATTCCTTCCTGTGATGCCTGCGATGGTTCCGGTGAGACACATGGAGCTGTACTTTCCCTTTCAATCACTGAGGAGGGCTCCTGACGGGAGAATCCGTTGGTTAGTTGTTCGGAGATTATTGAGAAGTTCGGGTTGCTGGAAATAGCGTATTTTGTAGTCTTTGTAGTCTTTGTAGCTTTTGTAGTCTGTATTGCCTTCATAACCTACGAACTCCTGAGTTCCGAGCGATTGCTCAGAATATATTCGTGATTTTTCGAAAATCAAGGTTTTATTCTGAGCAATAGGTCAACAACTGAAACTTTTTTGTAGTTTGTAGTCTTTGTAGTCTCCGAGGTATTGCTCAGAATAAAAAAAAAATATTCTGAGCAATAATTACCTATAAGTATTATCCTTCTCATCGGGCGGTGTCGGCGGCCTGACCACCTCATTTTCCTTCGTATAATCAATGTTATTATTATGAAGTGTCATATGATTCCGAAAAACGGGCGGTGGGGTTCCAGAAGTTGTTTGGGTGGTGGGAAGAGTGGATGTTGGTGGGGCGGTGCGGAAGCATCTGGAAAAATTGGAATTTTAGGGATATCCTAGACCTCTTGAGTTCAGAAATGGCTAGAATTGTTTCCAGAGGCTTGTGTTGAACTGGATAGGTACCCCTGAAAATTTCAGAGTCCGCTGACAATTTTCAGTTTAGTTATGACGTCAAAACTGAAAATCAATAGGTTTTTGAGTCATAACTCGGCTGAAAATTGTCAACAGACTCTGAAATTCCTTGTGGTGACTATCTAGGCCAATATGAACTTCTGGAAAAAAAATTCTGGAAAAAATTCAGCCCCTGGCGCCAAAACAGGTGCGCCTTTCACCTCCCCCTGTCTCGCCCCCCCCCCCCCCCCGAGGGAGAGAAAGAAAGCATGCTTATCTGTATGCCCTCTCCCCTTTCTCTGTATTGCGGCGCCGTGGCGCAGTGGCTAACACTGTCGCCTGCCAAATATCGGGCGCGGGTTCGATTCCTACCCAGCGTCAAACTTTTTTTTCTTTTTTTCTAATCCCATTCTGTATTGTTTTTGGTATTTTTTCGACCCCCCTTACCCTATACAACCCTTCCCTGAGTACATTTTGATGTGATTTGTGTGTGTACTCATCCTTTCCCCTTTTAAGTTGTCTCCATGTGCCGAAGGGCACAACACACGTCATGAAAATAGAAGAAAGAGAGAGAGAGAAAGAGGGGTAATGTGATTTAAGAATAGATGCATATGTGTCGTGTCGTAGTCGTCAGAAAAAGGGTAGAAATCGAGTTATTTATCATGTCTACTTCAATTCTTGTCACATCAAATTTTCAGGCTATGCAAATGCGCTCTAATGACAATACTACAAACTACAAGGTTTTTGGGAGAAAAAATCCGAAAATTGGAGTTTTTGAACGAAAAGTTCCCGCCAAAATTTAAATTTTCCCACTTTGCAACTTTTTACCCTTCCCCGGCCCCCAAAAAAGACAAAATTGAATTGAGCAGTGCACACATAAAATGGGACCAGAAAAAGGTCAGAAAATTGGCGGGAATTTGAAAAAATTTGCATAAATATTGTCTATTTTAGTGTGGTCCCTATGAAAAAAAAGGAAATTGATGGGGTACGAGGTCGAAATGAGAAAAAGTACAGAATATTTAAAAATTTAGTCTAGGGTTTACCCAAAAATTGAAGAAGAAAAATGGGTTCAAAAGATGATTGGGTTTTCTTTTCTTATTTTTTGGGAGATAAGGAAGTGAAAACGGGTATGAAGAAGGAAGTGAGCCATAATGACCTCTATTAGAAGGTCACAAGCGATAGCAAAAGAGTATTTGATAGTAACCGCTCCGGCTAGGCTGTGTTGACAAAAAATCGCATGAAATACAAAAATTACAGTTTGAGGGGAACAGAAAACGGCGGCTCAGTTTCGAGTATCAATCAAATTTTTTCGAAATTTTGGATTCCTGCCAAAGTCAAAATTTTCGAAAATCGAAATCTCGTCAAAACTTAAAAATTTTTTTTGAGTTCCCGCCAAATTTTATCAAAATTCGAATCCCCGCCAAAATTTTTGGTTTTTTGAATTGCCGCCAGATGTTAGAAATTTTTCACATTCCGTCAAAATTTATGAATTTTCAAATTCTAGTCAAAATTTTTGAATCTTTGAATTCTCGCCAATTTTTTTAAAATTTGAACTTCCGCCAAATTTTCAGAAATTCTTGAATTCCCTCCAAAATTTAGAAATGTTTGAATTCTCGCCAAATTTTCATAAATTTTGGGAATCTCCGCCAAAACTCTTCAATTTCCAGAATTCTCGTTAAAAACTTCAGAATTTTTTGGATTCCTACCAAGATGTTAGAAATTTTTTGGATTCTCGCCAAATTTTTTTCTAATTTTGAAATCCCGCCAAAATTTTCAGAAATATTCGAATTCTCGCCAAAAGTTTTCAATTTTTGAATTCCCACCAAAGTTTTTGGTTTTTTGAACTCCCGCCATAACTTTAGAAACTTTTGGATTTACGCCAAAATTTCAAAAATTTGAATTGTCGCCAAAATTTTTAGAATTTTTATTCCCCCGCCAACTTTTAGATTTTTCGAATTCTCGCCAAATTTCTAGATTTTTTTGAATTCTCACCAAATTTCTAGATTTTCTGGATCCTCGCCAAATTTTCATAAATTTTTGAATTCCCACCAAAATTCTTCACTTTTTCAATTTCGTTTATTCTGAGCAATAGTTCAAACTATCTTGAAGGTGTATGGTTTATAGTTTGTAGTCTTTGTAGCTTTTACCTAAAACCCTAGAAACTTCGAATCCGCTCCTCAGACCCTTTCCGATCCCCTTAGACCCTTTTTTCCCTCAAATTCACCCAAAAAATGTCCAATTTTCACTAAAAGTCTTCCCTTCCCTGTGTTTATGGTTCCCCTGGCTCTCTACAAAACTAACTATATCAGTCTGAGTGGATATCCACCACCACCACTTCAAACCATAAATTTCCAATTTCGCGTGGAGTGGTTTCTGAGATTTTTGTTGTTTTTTTCTGAGTCACTTTTTTCCTCTAATCCTGGATTCTAGGACCCCCCCCCCCTTAGGATAATCAAGAAAAGTGTTGAACATTGCCCCTAAAATCTTTGTTGGGGGGTGCCCCCATGGGAACGCCCCCTCCCTTTAAAGTAGAAGGCCCGCAGAAAAAATACATATGGATGTTGAGATTTATGCGTGTTTCGCCACTCTTCATGGTCATTTGGGAAAACTATGCAGAAGGGGGAGAAGGAACTGATTGAAATGGATGGGTTTTGGTTGTGGAAAAGGGCTCAGAAACGGGTGATTAATGGGGGTAAAGAGAGGGCAAAAATCTGAGTTTTAGCGCGAAAAATGAGGAATTTTTGGCTGAAAATGGACCCCTGATCACTTTTGAAGCTGTATATCTTAGTTAGGAGTAGAGATAGAGAAAAGTAGTCAACTAGTAAATTGCTCAGAATAAAATTTCACACATTTTATTAATTAAGAACTTTTTTGTATCTTTTACGGGAGCCGAGATATGGGGCTCTATAAGTCGGGCACCAGGATTTTCTTGGAGCGCATTTGCTTCGGACCTTCTTATCTTGGTTAGAAATAAAGATAGCAAAAAGTTGTCAACTAATAACTAGCTCAAAATAAATTTTTGCACATTTTACAAGTTGACAATTTTTCCTGTCTCTTTTCCTAATCGAGATATGAGGCTCCTAAAACAGTTTCAGTGGAGCGCGTTTGCTTGGAAGCTCTATATCTCGGCTGCAGTGAAAGCTATCAAAAAATTGTCAACAAATGAAATGCTTAAAATTGAATTTTACACATTTTACTAGTTGACAACTTTTTTGTATCATTCACGACAGCCGAGATATCGGGCTTCAAAAGCAACAGACTCCCATTTTTCGTAGTTTGTAGCCCCAAAATTCAATTTTTTTCATTTTTCCCAACAAAAAAATCAATACTCACTTGCTGGAATTCGATGTATCATTCGGTGAATCGGAGCTACTATTTCCGGCGTCACTCGTCCTAACACTCACTTCCGGTCGTCGCATTTCGGTGAGCAAGGCGAGACGTTTCGTTTTCTGAAATTATTGATTTTTCTAAGTTTTTTCTGTATTTTCTGCAAGTTTAGGAGAAATTTGAGTTCTGAATTCGAAATCTAGGAGTGGGAAAACCCCTAAACCAGCTGGAAATGGCTGAAAAATCGAAATTGAGGGGGAAGAGACGCAGAGAAACGAGAGTGTCTGGCTTCTCTGCGTCTCTCATTTTCTTTTTTTTGTTTTGTTATCTCCCTCTATCCGAGAGAGGGAGAGCGCGCAGAGAAACGAGACTGTCTGACTCTAAGGAAGAGACGCAGACACTCTCGTTTCTCTGCGCTCTGCCCCATAACTTAAAACAGGTATATCTCGAGACGCAGAGAAGATAGAGAAAAGTTTCAAGAGACAAAAATGATCAGCATAAAATTTTGCGTCGATTGGTATGAAAATATATCGAAAATTGAAAAAAATTGTGTTATGGCTAGTTTAGGCCTTTTTAGGCCGTTTTAGGCCGTTTTTTTCCCGATTTTTGCCCAAAAAAAACCGTACCTGATCACTCTTCAAGGCCAACTTCTTCGCCGCTCGATAGATTCCCCAGTAGAGGTAGAGCATGACGAACAGGGTGGTCCAGTAGTAGGAGATGTACATTCCCATATTCAGGTAGGGATTCGTCATGAATTGCACATAACACTCGTTCTCTTTCAGTATTCTACCAGTACCCGTGAACGTACCGTAACCGAATATCGACACCGAGAATAGGATACTTGGCACCTGAAAAAATAGAGTTTTTTGTGGAAGAGAGACGCAGAGAAACGAGAGTGTCTGGTTTCTCTGCGTCTCTATTTCTAGCTGTCTATTCTCACTGTGTAGAGGCGCAGAGAAACGAGACTGTCTAGAGTCTCTGCGTCTCCTCCTCCTCAGCTCTAGCTGCTTATTCTGAAAGCGAGGAGACGCAGAGAAACTAGATTGTCTAGCATACCTGCGTCTCTAACTTAGACCACCTTTTCTATTAGCGAAGAGACGCAGAGAAACAAGAGTGTCTGGTCTCCCTGCGTCTCCAACTCAAGCTGCTATTCTGGCAACGACGAGACGCAGGGGAGCTAGATTATCTAGCGTCTCTGCGTCTCTTCCTTTCTATCTCTAGTTTCTGCTGACAGGTTAGAGACGCAGAGACACCAGACAGTCTTATTTCTCTGCGTCTCTTACCCTCTCCTAAACATCTAGCGTAACTGCAAGGATACGCAGAGAAACCAGACAGTCTCGTTTCTCTGCATCTCTTCCCCCTCCTTACTATCTAGCGTAACTGCGTAGAGACGCAGAGAAACAAGAGCGTCTAACTTCTCTGCGTCTCTTTATCTTTTTTTCTTTTTTCCCAGCTTGACAACAAAGAGACGCAAAGAAGCGAGACGGTCTGATTTCTCTGCGCCTCTTCATCTTCATCTGCCTATCCCGGCTGAATAAGACGCAAAGAAACTAGACTGTCTGGTTTCTCTGCGTCTCTTATCTTCTAAAACTCACAAGCCATATGAAAATGATAATGAGCACGACGCGACGGGGTGTCCTCCAGTTTCGATACACCGCTGGTTTCTTCACCGAATAGTACCTGAAAGAAAAATAGTGTCTGGTTGTCTGCGCTCTCTGCTCCATGAGACGCAGAGAAGTTAGAGTGTCTAGCTTCTCTGCGTCCTCTTTTCTTTGAACCAGAAGAGCTGAGGGGGAAGAAGAGGCAGCTCGCAGAGAAACGAGAGTGTCTGCGTCTATCACATCGTGGCAGAGACGCAGACACTCTCGCTTCTCTGCGCCTTCGCGGTCAACTTTAAACGGGTATATCTCAAGACGCAGAGAAGATAGACAAAAACTTCAAGAGACAAAAATGATCAGCATAAAATTTTGCGTCGATTGATATAAAATTATCTCGGAAAATTGAAAAAAAATTTTGACTTTGAGCAAACTAGGCCAATTTTCGTCGGTTTTTTT